CGTAAGGAGCATAGCTTTGGGAGGCAGTTCTATGGTTGTGTCAGGGGTGTTTCAGCTCGTTGTGGTTTCTTCCGGTGGGCTGATAGTCCCTCATATTACACTGACAGTAGTCATGCCAGCAATCATGTGAATCCGATGTTTTCTCCGAGTGACATTGCAGATGAGGACCGACGTAGCCAGAGTTTTTTTATTAGGCATCTCCTCAAGCTTCTCGTCACAATCCTCTTTTTGTTGTACTTGTATTTGTCCTTTTTTTAGTTCTCTTGATCCTCATTAAGGTAAGAACTATATGGTATCTTTTAGAACTGATCTGTGATTATCGTATGTTTTTGTACCATGTTTTTCTCTATCAATAAGCTATTCTGAATAAGCTGCCCAAAACAGTTTATCACACAGGGGCAGGAATGTCATTTAACTACTAATAAGCTAGTCTGAATAAGCTGCCCCAAATAACAAGCCAGATTATTCTGATAATCTGTAAATTATCAGATTATCAGAATAATCTGCTTATCAACAGATTATAAATAATCCGCAGCTGTGCCAAACAGAGCCTTAACCTATCACTTGAAAGTCCTCTAATTACACCCTTCAATGAATATTTTCCTATTTATTTGCACTCAATCATATGAAATACATTCTCATTCATACAACCTAATGTGATTTTTTCCAATTGTTGACTGAGATAATACCAGCTCGGTTCATACATGTTCTCACAATAAATTTTAACATCTCGGTTGGCCAGATAAAGCAGTTAATGAACTATGTGGATTTAAATTATCACAACAACTTACAACATTAAAGATCAATACTCTCCACAACTTCCATCCAACACTTAATTACTTATCATTTTAAGAAGAAAGATAAAGAAAACTACTCAGAATCCATGGTGAAAACAAAAACACACTTTAGCTTAAAAGTAGAAATTATTGTCAAACCAACCACAAGTTTCAATTAAAACTAAAAGTAGTCTAAAACAAAAGACAAAAACTTATCTTAAGTCTTCCACCAAACTTTTGAAGTTCCTTTGAATCTATTATCTTTTACAACACTCTCAATATAAAACAAAAATAATAAACATAAATATATGGTGCCTAGAAATCTCTCAAACTAACTCGCCATTTTTAGAACTTTTGAAACTTTCCCAGTACTTTAGAGACCCATTTCAAAGTCTCAATCTTCCTTCTTTTATAATTCTCCAGAAGGTGCCTTAGTATCTCTTCAAAATGTGTCTTGATTTTGATGTATTTCCCCAAGAGATGCAGCCTTTCGCGATAATTTTCGTCCATGGTGGTTGTAACCACCTATTAAGCCAATAGGTGCCTCAAAAACCTCTTCAAAATTCATACAAACTGAATTTAATCATTCAATAATTTTCACTGGCGCTAAAGCACAGGGCCTCTGGCGCTTAGGCATGACCTTCTCTGTTTAACCGGTGCTTAAGCGTCAGATCTGACACTTAGGCACCAAAACACTTTTGCACATTTTCACCTATTTGCTCCAAATTTGATCCTTTTTCACTCCTTTAAGCATTTTTCAATTTTTTACCTATACCTGAAAGAAAAACACAAAAATACCTTCCATTAAAGCGCAATATCTCAAAAATAGGTATAAAAAAGAGTTAAAAACAATATATATTTTAGGTGTATCAATCGTTGCTACCATCCAAGATTTCTTCCCAAATGTGCTGACTTCCCTAAACTTCTTACCCTTTCTAATGTTTCTGTATGCTTGACCTCTTCTTGCAGACTGCTGACCTTGTAGAGCAGTTTCTCAAATGACTTCATTGTAAGTCCCTTGAGCATGAAGGCTACTGAACCATGATTGCTTTTGAGTAAAATATGAATCCTATGTTGTTCTGATAGATTTGGTTCACACTTCATGCTCAAGTTCCTCCATCTCTAAATGTAGTCAACCAAGGTATCATTGGACCTCTATTTTTTCACTACGAGATCTCCTTTGGTGACATGGAGCTGCTCTTCACAAACTCCTTCATGAATAAATGCTCTAACTCGATGAATGTCTTCATAGATCCATTGGGCAACTTGGCATACTAATAAAATTAAATCCCTCACAAACTACTGACAAACTGATAAAACAAAAGTGCTTCATTATCACTGGCATTGCAAAAACTGGCAAGAAATTGTGTTATATGCTGACGGGGAGTTTCGATTCCATCAAATGTCTTAAAATGTGGTTCCACAAAGCCTTTGATGTACAGTATGACATAAAACTCTTTCGGGTAAGGTCTACCCCTTGAAATTGATGCTCCTCCTTTAGATTGGGCTAAGGCCTCCCTCACTTGCTACTCAACTAACTTCTTGAAATTACGCTATGGTATCGAACTATGTGTAGAATCTTTCTTTTGCAGTTCATCTCTAAAGAAGACGTAACTTCTATCCTGTCATCCGTTATGTGTATAATCTTGAGCGAGTTGACCTTCAGAGATGCCATCTACTACGAATGAGACTGTCCATGCATTGAAACCATGGATACCGTGCTAGTGGTTGTCGACCATTTTTTTTTTGTTGTTGTAGGGAGGGTGTTTTTAATTTAATATATATAAATATAAATATAAATATAAATATATATATATATATATATTGATTAAAAGAGCAACACATGGCTCCTTATGCATTAATAAATAAAAAAGGTACAAAAATGGGGTGGGATAGTACATCCCCGTCTAGAAAGAAAAAAAAAATACATTTAATCCTAGGGGCTCCACTATCCACAGTACAACTCATTCAAGAAAATAAAAATAACATGTATAAACCCAAAAATATACTAACAGAAAAAGTATACCCAAAAGTTACATGCATACGAAACCCCAACACCAAAAAGAAAGTGAACATACTTAAAATAGAAAAAAGCAAAGTCCAAATCACATCCAACAAATCCTATCATCTCCTACAATCTCTTCTAGATCTGCATGGATTATAAACAAAAAAATTGTGCAGGACAGTGTAATCCAAGCTCTGTTTACAACATCCAAGCATCCATAATCCAACATTTAAGAAAACGTAACCAAGCAGTTCTGTCAAAGAGCATATGTGTAAAAAATCTCATGAAATTAAAAAGGTAACTCCTTGCCAAATTATAAAAGAAAGCACAATATAGGAAGTGACAAAAAGTTATGCAATATTATCATGTAAAAGAAAGCACAATATAGGAAGTGACAAAAAGTTATGCAAAATTATCATGTGGCCACAAGGAGAAGCCTTCCAGAGCCCAGAGTAGCCATAGTCCATAAATCGACAAAGATAAAAGGCCATCTATCAAAATATGAATCAGTGACCAACAAAGTGATCCAAAATTACTGGTCATTCACCAACCAAAGCGAAAATAATAATATACTATTATAACCAAAAAGTTAAAGAGAAACCCCAAAGAAGCAACTAAAAATATAGTTTATATAAG